GGAACATTTTGGATAAAGAGGAAGCTTATACATTTGCATCATAAACAAACACAAATCCCATCTGTTTTGAATTCTTTTTCGAAAAGTTACATAGTGGTTTATTTTCAAATCCAAATGAAATAGCAATGCCAAAGCCATTAGTAAAATAAGAGTAATAACATTTAAATTTCTTTTTCAATTGCCATTGACATATTCAAAATAAAAACGTTGTCAGCTCAGTTTCAGATTATTCCTAGAAAACTGTTTAGTTTTCTTATTCTGAGATGGTGCATGAGAGGCAGTCAAAGACAACAATACTTTATTGCTTAATTTCATATAGTGAATCCTATGTTGCTTTTTAAGAAATCGGTTCTAGTGAGTTCAAGGACTCATACTGCTAGATACATATTCAAAATCAAATGTATTTCCAAATGTATTTCCTCTAGATAGTTGAATCTTCATTTCCATCATCCCCAGCCCACATAGACATTGCTGAAACATCTATGGAACACCATGTTGTAGACAGGCTAAAGTATAGGATTGCAACGTTATTGTTTTCTTAAAGAAGAATTTCAGATCTGCATAAAAGAAATTATGATAGTCTTCCAAATAGTCTCTTGACTACATTTTTGCAATCTTTATTGTTCATCAGGATCTGATGCTGTACAATGGCTATTTGAGATTTAATCATCCGAAAACTTCAGTCACAGAACGATCTTAATGGTTTCCTGATGTTCCCATGACTCTATTGTTCTTCATCTCTTCCCTCTTCACTTATCAAAGTCTCCTCTATCCTTTCTGACTAAAGGTTAACTTGGAAACTTACCTAGGATGTGATGTGAAAAACCATAGAAAATTGAAGAAAATTAAGGTAGAAAAACTTAACTAGTCATGAAGAATTACATCAGTGAACTTCTATGCATGTCTTTCATATTCTTCCCAGGTTTTCATATTTTAAGAGCACTTCATGCTGCAAATATGATTTCATAAAACACATACACATAAAACAACATTTTCAAGATAAATGATGTGCAAGCTAAGTATTTATTACTGAGAAACTTTTCAGGTTTTTTAAAATTATTTTTTCTTCCCCACACAGCCTTTCTATTTAGCTTGGCAAATCAAAACAGGTGATGATGTCTCTGGTATAATTTTATATTTAAAGCTTTTAACTGCATTTTGTTGTTCAGGTGCTGAGTTAAGGAACGAGAAAGATAGCATTTATCCAGTTAAAAAAAAACTGGGACATCATTCTTGATTCATGTTATATGATCATTTATCACTTAGTGTTTATCACTGTATGGCATTTCTTATTATGGCCTTAATAAAAGGCCCATCAGAGAATGTCCTTGGCTAAGAATCTAGCGTGTCTTCACCATAAAGCGTGTTCATTCTTCATATAAATTGTGAATACTATATAGTAAGCTGAACACATTTTTATTGAAGCACTGGTATTGCTTACAACTTCTTGGATGCATATTGCTTCACTAAAAATCACAAATAGATAACTGGAAATACATTCACTGCTCGTACAAAACGTGATGAGGTTCTATATGAACTAAAAAGATACATTGACTGGAACTATGCTTTTCTGCCCTTGATATGCCCTTATGCATAAACTCTTACAGGGGTGGGTTGGTTAGGGTTAGGGTTAGGGTTAGGGTGGAGGACGTAGCCTTATCCTTATTAATGGATATTCCTTGATGCAGTTTCAGTCTCCTTCTGTATGGTCTTATATGACTATTCTCTCAAAAGTGCCTTTTCAAAAGGTAACTGGATTGTTTTTTTCTTGAGGAAGAGGAACAAACTATTTCATTTCTCATCCAAGAAACTTCATCATAAGTACTGACAATTGAGACTGGCTGGTGGGGGTGGAAGAATAGGCTCAGATGGGATGGATCTAGGAAATGGACGGATTGTATTTCTTGCAGTCAACTGGTCCATTCATGCTTTCTGTGAAAGCTTTTGAGGCCACTTGGGGTTTATCTTTGCCCTTAGGGTATAATTGGTTGTGGAATTTTCTTGGCACTATGGCAAGAGCTTCATTGTAGATTGATGTTGTATCCCGCCCTCTTTGTTGAAACAGGGCTGCTCAGTATTAATGTAAATGACCTCTTTTACATCTCTTTCAGACTAATGATCCAAAATGTGGAGTGCTGTCTTCAAAATAGTGACCTTTGTCTTTCAAATGTAGATGGACAGCTAAATCTTGTCCTGATGGGTTTGATCTTTTATGTTGTGCTGTGCACTTGTGAAATGGTTGTTTTTGTTTCACCAATCTACAGGTCTGCACATGTCTCACCACATTGAATTTCATATATCACATTGCTCAGTTTTAGTCTAGGTATTTTATCCTTGGGATGGACAAACTTCCTGAAATGCTATAGTGGAATACAAAATTGCATGTTGAAGTCCACAAGATAAAATGATCGCACAGCAAAAAAGTGAATGAAACTTATGCAAAGTTTTTCTTCTCTTTGCTGTAAAGAATCTAGAAAGTCTTATGGAAAAGATGGCTGATGGCCATGAGAACTATAAAGGGAAGAAGGAATTGCCACATTACCTGCTTTCTCTTAGGATAAATCCTGCATTATGCTGTAAATACTGAATTTAAATGTCTTAAAAATATTTTAAGAAACCTGAATTTTGTGTAACATTTCTTATATATCATATGTGTTTAGTTAAGCTAGTTTAGGAAATGATGGAAAAATCTGTCTATCATAATTGATGAAAATGGAAATATATTGTGTACTGTATAGGGAAAGTGAATCTGTTTCTCAGACTTCTTTCAGCTCTTGGCTTTCAACATGCTTTTGTTTTTCTACATATCATGTTCTACCCATGTAGAATTTCACAATAGTTTCTTGTAGTTATCCATCCTCCCTCCTTTATTCTAAAAAGTTAGCTAACATAGTCTTGATATACGCAGATATACTCATAGATTTTTTAGTGGGGAACAGGATCATTTTAGTTTTCTTGCTCTTTATTACAGTGTTTCTTTTCTCTGAAAAAAATTGCAATATCTGCTGATACTTCTCTCTCTCTCTCTCTCTCTCTCTCTCTCTCTCTCTCTCTCTCTCTCTCTCTCTCTCTCTCTGTGTGTGTGTGTGTGTGTGTATGCATACAAACATGAGATAGAATACTTTAGAAATACAAATATATTGTTCATGCATCTCTAGTAGCCATATAGAAGATGTATTTCAGCAAGTACAATTTGTCATCACAGGAAATTTTGTCTTCTGTGCCATTATTAAAGGTGAAACAGCCCTCTTTTGCTTGTTCTATATTGATTATATGAGGGCCAGAATTCTTAAACTATCCTATCAGTTTGATGACCTATAAAACTACAGGGCTAGACTTGTTAAATGTTATAGATGACAGAAAAATAATGTTTACTGACTATTTAATATTTCAGTCTATGTTTCAGAGTTCTATGATTTCCATGCAAATATCTTGGAGTTTTATGATAAAAAAATATTTACATAATCCATTTAGATGTTTTATTCAGGCTTTCAATATTAAACTTAGATAATAAACACAAACCAAAATGAATGAATCAATATTATGATAGCCATACCAAAATAGTTTTAAAAATTTCAGTTGAAAATTCTGAGAAATATCCATTTGAGTAAATACTCTTCAACATTGAAAACAAAGAGCTAGGTTAATTTCTATTGGAATAAAAAAAGGTAAAGCAGTTGTTGCTGACTCTAGGGGCGGAGTTCATCTCAGTTTCAAGGCCATTGAGCACTGTCTGAAGACATTTCCACAGTCATGTGGCTAGCATGAAGTCATGGAGTGCTGCTACTTTCCCACCAAAGTGGGACTATTTATCTGCTTGTATTTACATGCTTTCAACCTGCTAGGTTGGCATGAGGTGGAACAAAGATGGGAACTCACTCTATTGCATGGTGCTTGGGTCTCATGTCCAACAAGTGTATTTCTGTTTGCAGACAGGCAATATCAGGTATTACTCAGAAACATGAATACAGATAAAAGCAAATCTTGGGCAGTGTTTCAGTTCCCCTGGGGCCTTATGGCATTGATAACTTCCCTTCCCTTCCCTCTCTCTCTCTCCCCCCTCTCCCCCTCCCTGTGTTTGTATTTAAAATTTGCTTTTTATGCAGGAATGGTTTCTTTGGTTCTCCTTAAAAATTCAAAGTGTTGAGACAGACAGTATAAAAAGTATTGGGTGGTGAAGAATTTATTTTCCTCCAGCTTGAAAAAGTGTCGATAGAGTATATTTAAACCTATTGTAGGAGAAAATGATCCATTTTAATGCACAAGTATTTAAAGGTCTCTAAATAAGCCATGATATCGTTGACTGCTTCCCCAACATATTCTACAAATAATTTGCTTCCTTGTGAATTACATTCCTCTGAGATGACATAATTACCTTAAAATATTTTTTTTTTAAATCAGCCCCATTCAAATCTATTAACCAGCTGATTAATTAAAAGGGAGTAATTGTTAATTCTGTCACTAATGCAATGTACAATTACTGTGCCTTTCATTTCTTCATCAACATATTTGTCAACTTATTTCAGCCTTTTTAAAATCAGTATGTTTTTCTTATCTTATGAATCATTAGCCACTAAGACAAATTAGCTTTCATTTGTGTGTTTCTGTGCATGTCACCTTGGGCCTGTGTGTTTGTGTGTGTGTGTGTGTATGCACACGTGTGTCCTTCTTAGTCTGATAGAAATTGTATGGACAAGTCCTTGTACACAAACACACCCTATTTTTTAAAAGGGTGCATGTGATGCACAGCTTCCTGTTCAGATAGTGTTTGCTCCAAGTAGAAACTAGTAATTTGGGAATAATATATAGATTACAATTTGCCAGAATAAACGATTAAAACACAGGTGTCATTCTTCTCTACGGCAAAGTATGGACAAGACCATCCTTAAATTTATATAACTGTGTAATACCACTTTGAAACATAATCCAGTGTAATTCTTTGCATGCAACCGGATATGAATACCTTATGTTTTCTTGTTCTTCCACTTCTCCTCCTCCAGCTGTTCAAAATGAACGGGACCGAATAAGTACCAGACGAAGCACCTCTGATGGCGTTGCTCCTCCTTCTATTAACACACTGTCCCAGGCTGAAGTGCTTTCTCGTCAGGTATAGTAATCTACCATCAGTGCCTAAAGAGTCACCTTAATCTCTTGAATACTCTCGGAATCCATTATTTATAACCATATCTATTCTTTTTGCATTTGTAATAACGAAATAAGACAAGAAGGCTCTCGGAAAAGAATTCTAATTTTATTCAGCTTATTTTGTAATATTACTCAATGCACTTTTCACGTTCAAAATAGATAACTGAAATGATTCAGGTGAGAAGGATACCATTATCGCCATCAGGTTTAATCTATAAGGACTCCTTATTAAATGTTTCTCCAACCTCTTGGAGTATGCCTGAAGAAGTCAGAGGAAGGTTAAGGACTGCAAAATCTACTCTAAGTACTTTTGCTATATTGATGAAAACTACATTACCATAAAAGTGATATGATATACAAACCCTTACTGTATAATACATAAAAATTTTCATATATTGTAGGAGATAAAATACTTCTACTTATGTTTCCTTTTTCTTATTCTTTTTCTTTGTACCTGAACCAACATACATTTATCACGTCTTTCTTCTAAAACATTTTGTTTTCCTTGAAATTGCTTTAGCTTTGACTCCAAACTCATCAGGTTTTTTTCTTCTTCTATAATCTTTTAGCTGTTTCTGAACAGTTGTTCAGAAGTTGTTTCTATTGTACTGCATATGAACAAGATGGGTATCTATCAAGCCTCCCTAATCAAGAAAGTCACACAAATTGACTTCTAAGCACTTTCCTTTATTGTTTCATACCTATCATCAGAAATCTTAACCCAACTAAAGTAAACTACTTGCATCATTAAAGATATACTCTGAGAACCCCCTAGAAAAGATTCAACCTTCTTCCTCCCTCCCTCCCAACCAAACAATCTAAACTTTGCTGTCTCTTGTTTCCCTGGATGCACTCTCTTCCTCTTTGGAATCTGGACTACATTTTGCCACAGTATCATCTGTGCAGCTGCGGAAGCTCTTAGGGTCCCACTGTCTTCAAAACACCCTATAGAAAGATTCTCTATTGAAACAGAATTAATATGTAGGCCGGACCTTTGACCTTATTAATCACTTTTTGTGGGGTTATCATAATTTTGAACCGTTGTTAAACCAGTCAAGGGCTACCTGTAATTGTAAGTCAAGGGCTACCTATAATTTTTTTAATGATTAATAGTAATTATTAACTATGTTTTAGTTATATTTATATTATTTTATATTTCTGTGTTTTATGTGTGCTTTAGAATTGGTTGATTAGAGGATTTTTTTAAAATACATCAAAAAGTAGATATAACTTTACTCAATCTTCATATGTATCTTCAACTTTTATCTTCTTTCTATTTTTTTTACATACGTTATTATCTTTCCCTTATAGTTGTAAGTCCTTGACTTACAACTATTTTAATGAATGTTTTATGTTATTCTAATTTATTATTTTTAAGACTGTGTTTAATAATGAATAAGTAATTTAAGATGTAACGTGGAGAATGGAATGGAAGAATATTAAAAAATAAATATATGAGTTTTGAATAGAATTTCTGAATCTACTCAGAAATAGAAAGTAAATAAAATAGAATTTCTGAGTCCTGAATAATAGAAATTTTAACTTATTTAACTTAATTTATATCTACATTTATAAATGGTAACTATTATCAAGCCTGATATAGCCTTTTGAAATTTTAACCAATCTGAGTCTTTGTGTCACCCAGATTCCTCTTTCAAGTTTAAATGTTGGCACTACTGACATCAGTGTGAAGAAAATTGCGGGTATTAGTGACATTTGTGAATCTATGAAGCAACAGCTCTTGGTTCTTGTAGAATGGGCAAAATATATCCCATCTTTCTGTGAACTACGGCTGGATGACCAGGTATGAAATAATTAAAGCACCTGTTCTTAGTTTGGGAAGAATATCATTCTATGTTTTAAAATCAAATTAAAGATCTTTAAGCTTATATTCATGCAGAACTGGTTATGGAATCTGAGAAAGAAGAGTGGTGGGATTCAGCCCCAAGGGAATGTCAACCAGGATCAGGTTCCAAAATTCCCTGCAACATAGGATGGAGGCAATATATTTACCCAGCCTTCAGTAAAAAAAATCAAGGCAACTTTTTTTACTTTTTGATAAGAATTTGATTAAAGGAAGCTGGCTTTTAAACTTGTTTTCAGTTTATCCACTTCCTTACACATTAGACAGGAAGAAAATAGATATTTGTAATGAGTTTGGGAAGTCTCTGAGGGCCACATCCAAGATTTTATGGGCTTCAAGAAGTTGTATGAATCTATTTTATTTATTTATTTATTTTATTTGTCAAACACTTACAATATAATAGAAATAAGAATAAACATGAGTATAAATACATGAAATAGGTACTACCAATAGGACAGGGATGGTAGACATGATTGTGCGCTTATGCACAACCCTTACAGCTCTCTTAGGAATGGGGTGAGGTCAATAGAGGTTAGTTTGAGGGTAAAGGAGTGGGGATTTGAGCAGGTGACAACAGAATCAGGTAGTGAGTTCCAGACATTGACCACTCTGTTGCTGAAATCGTACTTCCTGCAATCAAGTTTGGAGTGGTTTACGTTAAGTTTATATCTATTGTGTACTCTTGTGTTGTTATGTTTAAAACTGAAATAGTCATTAACTGGTAAGATATTTAACATATAATTTTATGTACTATTTTAAGTCCAATCTTAGCCAGCATAGTTCAAGGATGTCCAAGCCCAGAATCTTCAACATTTTTAGTTATCATTAGATCAGCTATCCACAATTAAGCAAGTTGTTGCTTAAGGTAATATGAATTCAGTGTCATTGTCTGCTTTTCATGAAATATTTAGGTATTAAAAATGTTCAGGAAACAAATTATCAGGAAAATGAATTCTTTAAAAGAAAAGATAAATTTTCAAATAGGTTTTTGAACTGAAGCCTCACTTCTTCAACATTTTTTCTGGGAAAGAAGAATTTAAACATAATAGGAACAGTTATCATTCTGATTATCCTAATTCAGTTCTGATTTCCTTTAATAGTCTTTTTTAATATTTTATGTACATTTTGTATGGATATTTTATCTGCTGTTTTTATATCTAAGGTTGCCCTGCTAAGAGCACATGCTGGAGAACATCTTTTACTTGGAGCAGCAAAAAGGTCTATGGCTTACAAAGACATTATTCTTTTAGGTTAGATTATATTATATTTATTTTGGCATTTTATCAATAAAAACCTATCTATGTTTACTGAAAAGTATGCATAGGACTTCAGTTTGGAGTGTGTTAGAGTATGTTAATTTGTTAACTAACAATAGGTTACAAAACAGGCTTTTTCACTAAATCCTGAGACGAGACTGTTCTGAATAAAAATAAGAATTCTCCTTACTTTAAAAAGTGAATTAAAGTTTACTGTTAGTACCATGCATTATAAATTTTATTTTGCAGATGAAGTAGTTGATGTTGTTGTTATTGTTCTTATGTCCAAGGGCATTTTACTTAGAGAAAAACACCCAAACCTGTTTGCCTTTTTCACAAGCATGACCCTTGAAATGAGGGATTTATTTCTCCTCATGATTGGCAGAAGAAAACATTTTGGCTCATTTCCCAACCCATTGCATATGGTTTGCATAACCTTTGTCTTATTCCTTTTCTTTGCTATTGGAAATATTCCTTGGGGATAAAAATATTCATATGGGCCTGCTAGACCTTGCTGGTTCATACAGGAGCTCCACTCCTTTGCTCCTAATACTTAACTGAAAGTTAAAAGATTTTCTACCGTCAGTTGGTAACATCTTACTCTCAACTTTGAACATATAATCAGAACCTTCAGCAATTGACCACAGGCAAATGGAACATGTAGCATTTTGTTCTTAAGAGCAGTCAAACAAATGCTTTTGGGAAGTCTGTGACAGGACATACATTTGTACTGTATTCACCTTTCAGCTGTTCTATGTATAGATCTACCCTATCCATATTTGTCTTCAAGAATTCATACATTTAGATGAGTACATAATTATGAAATGAAATTATATTATATGTGTATGGATATGTAATTATTTGGTAGCACACAACATGTGGGAAAAAATACAATGAGGTATATTTATTCATTCAAATGTACTGGGAGGTAGAAATGGTAATTGGCTGTGTAGTATTAAGCTACAAATATCATTAATAATTTTCACCTGATTTTATTTCTTAAGGTAATGATTTTGTCATCCATCGTAACAGTTCTGAAACTGAGATTAGCAGAGTAGCAAACCGGATCCTGGATGAGCTCATTAAACCATTTCAGGAAATTCAGATTGATGATAATGAGTATGCATGCCTAAAGGCGATTGTATTTTTTGATCCAGGTATATTTCAGAATTTCCTTTCCAAATGTAACAAAAAATGTTGCTTTCTAAATATAAGCAGAGATATTATAGGTAATCTAGTTTGTCATCTAGGTCTTTATATGATTGGGACTCAAAGGATTTTATTTTAACTTATTTTGAAACATCAGCATGCTGGCTGGGAATTATCTGGACAACATCAGATTTATAATGGATATTTTAGTTTTTCAGTAAAACTTTAATACTCATGCCAGTTGAGAAATGAAAAGGTTTTATGACAGCTCTGCCTTAGGTGTGTCACCAACTCCTAAAGAAAGGACTAACAGGAATAGAAGGCAGCTTTAGAAACTGATGGAGAGCAGGCGATACATTATGCCCTTAAATGCCTACGTGTGAGACCTTAGGGTTCCTTCTCTTGGCTGGCCTTGAGAGCTTATCTGTTGCCAGATTTTCTCTGAGTAACATATTTATTGCCCCTAACGCTGGATTGCTCAAGAAAAATTATTTAGATTCAGTGTTCATTCTGCTGGTATCCTAGGAAGGTGCAGATGATTGTATGTAACTATGTATGTAAGTATGTATGTGTGTGTGTATGTATGTATGTATGCATGTATGTATATTTCACCTTTATTATTTTTTATAAACAACTCAAGACAGCATATGTGTTCAGTGTTTATTTATTTGTTTCCTTCTATCATCTGCAGCTTCATTCCAGAAAGTGTCAGAGCTTTTTCCACAACAACATGTCTTAACATTTTCTGTGACAGAAATAATACTTAAAAAACTTAAGTTAGGAAAGTGGAAGGTTGTTTTTATTAGCTCTTTGTCTTAATGTTATCCTATTAAGACAAAGGGATTTCTTTCCAAACATAAACATTTCTGAGTTCATACAATCTAGCTTTTTTAATCAACAGATTATGTATGTTTCCAGCACAGAGATGAGGATAACTGGGTCTTTAATGCAATGGCTATTTTTTCAGTCCTCCCTTCTTACCATAAAGGCTGCCATTGGAAGACTGCCATTTACTGTCTTTTTTAAAAAAATAGAAACAAATAATAATAAAAAAGAAATCGTGATGAAACTGCCAGGGCTGGTACTATCATGAAGTCAAGAGTGGGAGATCTTTTCTCCCTACTCCTTTCTTTCTGTTTTTTTACAGTTCTTCATGAGAATGATCCCCCACCCAAATAGAAATAAAAGCAGGTAACCGAATTCTTGGTAGCCCCTCCATTTTTTCTAGGTCTCTTTGAGGCTTTATTTTTTCTTATTCAGAATAATTAAATATATTAATGAACAGCTCATATGACATGGATCACTGGAACGATTTAGTTTAGTTCAAACTGCCAGGAGTTTTTCAAGTCTAAAAATATCGTCATCTAGTTAATTGTGAAAGTTGGTTAACAGATAATCAGAGTTGGAAGGGATCTTGTAGGTTATCTAGTCCAACCCCTGCCCAAGCGGGAGACCCTACACCATTTCTGACAAATGGCAGTCCAATCTCTTCTTGAAAGTCTCAAGTGATGGTGCTCCCACAACTTCCGAGGGCAAGCTGTTCCATTGGTTGATTGTTTTCACTGTCAGAAAGTGTCTCCTTATTTCCAGGTTCAATCTCTCCTTGTTCAGTGTAACTACCTTAGCAAGATCCCATTATGTGCTAACTCCCATCCAATTAAACATTAGCATGGTAAAAGGATCTCTGTGATCCATTTGTAACACTTCTTCACTCTCATCTTCTTAGAGCCAGTAGACTCATTACAGAGGAGTCAATAGACTAATTCTGAGATTCAATTAAGTTATCCAATTATGTGCTGCATATTTATGTAACATTTCTCTGCCATTTGAAGATGCAAAGGGACTGAATAACCCAATGAAGATCAGGAACATGAGATTTCAAGTTCAAATGAGTTTGGAGGATTATATCAATGACCACCAATATGACTCCAAAGGTCGCTTTGGAGAACTCTTGTTGCTTCTGCCGACAGTTCAGAGTATCACCTGGCAAATGATTGAGCAAATACAATTTCTAAAGTTGTTTGGTATGATTAAAATTGACAGTTTACTTCAGGAAATGTTGCTTGGAGGTGAGTAAGTTGATTAATTTATGTTCATATTTGACTGGAGAAAAATCATAAAAGAATTGCCGATCCTGTAGTAAATAATATTATTCAGGTTGGCCAAAGGTTTGAATCAGTGTGTGTGTGTCTGTGTGTGTGTGTGTCTGTGTGTGTATGTATTCCCACATCATTATAGTTGCGCTTTTAAAGTTGTAGCAACGTTTCAGCAGAATTTCATCTGCCATCATCAGGCTTCTGTATTGTGTTCGTCTGTGAGTCAGACTTTTATAAAACTGAAACAACTGTAAAAGTCTGAGATTTTCAGAGATTGAAAAAAAGACCTGAAAGCATGAATAGAAGAGATGACTCCACCAGACTGTCAATCATTTGGAAGCCTGCACTCACAAACAAAAAAATCTCCACACCACTAGCCAGGCAAACACCTGGACACAAACAGATCCCCTCTGATACCTCCAGCTCAAACACACCCCAACCAGGCACCCAGATGAAACCTAGCTTCCTAACAAATGATAGCCGTCCATTTACCTGGAGCCAAGCTGCACTAAAAGCCTCCAATACAGGAACACAATGTTACCAGCCAATCAAGACACAAAAAGAGCCACAAAACAGACAGAAGATATTAGAAACACCAATCAAGCAGAACACAGCAAACTCCAAGACCAATAAACACAGACCAAGAGTCCCAACCAATCAGAATGAAGAAAAAACCATTCTGGCACAGCAGTAGGCTAGCCCCAAATTTAAAACTGAAACCACTGTAAAAGTCTGACTCAGACGAACACAATACAGAAGCCTGATGATGGCAGATGAGATTCTGCCTAAACGTTGCTACAACTTTGAAAGCACAACTACAATAACGTGGGAAAATACCCAAACAAAGCTGCATACCATACATACATACATACATACATATGTGTGTGTGTGTGTGTGTGTGTGTGTGTGTATGTGTGGTTTTCAGCTTTGTTCGGGTATTTTCCCACGTCATTATAGTTGTGCTTTTAAAGTTGTAGCACTGCCATCCTCAGGCTTGTGTATTGGGTTCTTTTTAATCTTGTGTGTCAGGCTTGGCAGCCGTTTTTTCTTTGAATTGGGTGATGGCTTTCTGCTTTATTTGAATGGGTTTTTTCCTCATCCTGATTGGCTGGGACTCTAGGTCATTTTTATTGGTCTTCGAGTTGCTGTGTTCTTGATTAGTTGGCAACATTGTGTTGCATTGGGGTTTCTTGGTGCAGCTTGGTTTCTTGTGAATGGCCTATAATTATTTATTAGGAAGCTAGGTTTTATTTGGGTAGCTGGCTGGGGCGTGTTTGGGCTGGAGTTATTAGTGGGGTCTGTTTGTGTCCAGGTGCTTGCCTGGATTGTGGTATAGAGATTTTTTTGTTTGTGAGTGCAGGCTTCCAGATGATTGATAGTCTGGTGGAGTCATCTCTTCTATTCATACTATTAGGTCTTTTATCAATTTCTATGGCTTCTCTGAAGATTCTGTAGCCGGGGTTTTCTAGAGTAGCTAAGGTTTTGGTGCCACTGAAGTCAATGCTATGACCTGTGGCTTTCATATGTTGGACTAGTGAGGAAGGGTGTTCCAGCTTTTTTATTGCATTCTTGTGTTCTTCAAGGCGGGTACTTATTCTTCTATTGGTCTGTCCATGTGGCAGGGCATGATGCACAGGAGACTTCATATATGCCTTAGTTTTCTGGGTCAATTTTATCTTTGGGGTTTCTTAGGATGGCTGCTAAATTCAAACAAAAAACAGCTGCCAAGCCTGACACACAAGATTAAAAAGGACCCAATACACAAGCCTGAGGATGGCAGGTGAGATTCTGCCGAAACGTCGCTACAACTTTAAAAGCACAACTATAATGATGTGGGAAAATACCCGAACAAAGCTGAATACCATATGTGTGTGTGTGTGTGTGTGTGTGTGTGTGTGTGTACATAGACTTAAAATTCTTTCTTTTTCATGAATAACAATGATTACTGTGCTTTCATGTTTACTTAATTGTTAGATTGCAGCTAAAATATACTGATTTTCATCTTTACTTTTGTAAAGATCGGATGCTAAATTTCTTTTTAATTAGATAAACATACTTCAGATAGTAACAACCATTCACTTGAATTGATACTTATTTGATGACAATGTTGCAGGTACATTTAATGATGCTACTAATCTCCACTCAATTCATCCTCATCTAGCCCAGGATCCAGTTACTGGGCAAACTCTGCTTATAAGTTCAATAACAGCTTCTGCTCATACAGAACAGATAAGTAAGTTGATTAACAATGGATCATTTGATTATAAATGTAGTTAGTTAATTAATTACTAATTAATTGTTAATTATATCTTATAATTTGCATGTGATACAGTTATAACTAAATGATTAATTTCTCTTACTTTTGATAGTAATCTCAAGGAATTTTCATTCCATAATTCCACACATATTCATGTCATATAGAAGGAAGAAATATTTTTTCTCCAACGCTGGTTGATCCAGAAATTATACAGAAACAGATCTCTAGTTCTGCAAAAATGTTACTGAAATTGTAATCAGTTTCAACCACCCACCCTCCAAGTTCATTATTTTGCTGTGAACAGATAATTTTTACTCACTTAGTAATTGCTTTCAACAATAACAATATAGAAGCCTTTTAATTTGCCAAATTGTGATTTAAATGATTGTATTTCTATTCTTTTATTGCCCAAATTTAATGAGATTTGGGTTTTTTTCCCAGCTTTATAAAAAAATAATGTTTTCACATCCAGTTTCGGGATTCATCAGATGATCATTTTCATTCTAGTATTCTGTAGGATTTGAAATTCAAAATTTTGTTGGATTTTGATTATCAAATTTATGTGGACATAATATATCAAAGCATGTAAAAATGCAAATAGAAAAATAGGGACCACTTTGGTGGGAAGGTAACAGAGTTCCGTGTGCTTTCAGCGTTTAGTCATGATGATGGACACGTCTTTGGACAGCGCTGGCTCTTCAGCTTTGTAACAGAGATGAGCACTGCCCCCTAGAGCCAGAAACAACTAGCACGTATGTGCGAGGGGAACCTTTACCTTTTAATATATCAGACAATAAGGTGATTAAAAAAAATGTGATTCACAATACTTGCTGATAGTTGATAATTAGATAAAAAACAACACCATCTGCCAAATGTAATTGGAACTCTTGATGGGATACAATAGAATGCACAATATATTTATTCAATAAATATATTTATCCTAAGATCATAATTATCATCATCAAATATCAACATAGTGTTTCAATAGATGCTGTAAAATTAGGCAGTTATGATTATCTCATACCATAACTAAGATTTACTGGAGTTTTCCTTAAGGTTAGGGATAGACATTCTTTTTTAGGCTGAGTCTACATTTTTCATGTCTAATCTGTTAAGATTATGAGAAGCTGAGGACTTGAGTTAAAAATAGACAGATAAAACCCTTCTCTTTTTGTTCTTCCCCATTGTTCTTCTATTTCTTACTCTCTTACACATAGAAGAAATCTGAACAAATTTATTTTATAGATATTTGCCATTGGTTCCAGAATTGCCTGTTTTTCATTCCTGTTTTAAATTTGGGGGCCTTGTTGTGATTGTCATTTGCAAACTCTCCAGATTACAGGATACCTTTAGGCTTAATGATTTGCACTAGATGGACCTTTGATTCTTGCAGTATTAGACCAATTCCTTGTGTGTCCAATCTCACTTGGCCATTAAAGAATTCTATCTATTTTATTGCAGTTGGAATTAGCCAACAGTCAGATTATTTAATTATTGGATCCTACTTCAGTGCTATACCAAACTGTATGATTGGTAACAAATAAAAGTTGTGGTTATTTATAATTCATCTCAGCCAGTGCTGGTTATTGCTCCAACGCCCACCCCATACTACTAGCAGTTTGATTTGATTATTGATAATTTTTTTTCAAATTCTTTTCCAGCAACGCCTGAAACTCCACTACCTTCACCTCCACAAGGTTCTGGCCAGGAATACAAGATATCTCCAAACCAAGTTACAGTTATTTCGCAGCAATCTCTTCCAAAACAAAAAACATTGTGATATTGATCAATGGTTCTTTTATATTATAAGCACTGCATTAACAATCTTGATGTTGAAAAACTCAGGGTAGAGAACTTTGATCCAGATAGAATAAAAGAGCTTTGCTTTTGTTTGTTTGTTTTTTATAATTTTTGCTCAATGCCGTGAATTGAGATATTTGTGGATGTTAATATTTGAAAGCTGTGCCTTCTTTGCAATGCCTTTAAATAATCACTGAAGAACATTAATATGTTGTCCTTCATATCATGTGTCATCTTAACTATTAAAAATATGTAGCAGAATGCAAATCTGATTTCAATAAAATTACTAGATAAAATATAGAGATAATGAAAAGCGAAGCAAACATTTTTGAACAATCTAAACAGTTTTTCCATTTTTTTGAATGCAGAATAGAGGTTGACTGCCAAAATGTTTCCTAAAAGGATTGGCATAATGACTGCATGTATCATTAATGGACATCTTGAACATAATAATTCAGGGGTAAGGTGCTACTACAGAAAAGGCTATGACTGCTGGTACTTGTTAACCAATGGATCCATGAAACATTCATTCCTAATTAGCAATTATAAACTAATTATAAAAATAAACTAATTAAGGAGAGAAACAACTTAGAACTAAGGAAAATTTTTCTGACAGTTAGAATAATCAGTGGAACAACTTGCCTCCAGAAGTGGAAGTTTTGCTCCAACACTGGAAGTTTTTGAAAAGAGATTGGATAACCATTTGTCTGAAATGGTGTAGGGTTTCCTACCTAAGCAGGAAGTTGGACTAGAAGACCTCTGAGGTCCCTTCCAACTGTGTTATTCTATACTATTCTAAGTAGATGTGCAGAGGTTTGTAAGGTGTTGGGAAACAAATCTTTATAACTGTTTGCCTTGTGTTCTTCTGGGTAGCTTATTGAATTTCCCTGGTAGTCTTATTCCACAAACTAACCCGAACTCATCAAATTTGACTTTCAAGCCCAGCCAATACCTATCAGGTATTGATTATTTTAAATCCCTTCTGATCCCAATGGGTAATATGTGTCTTCTGCAATTTTAGGTCCTCTACCAGAGGCTCAGGATTATGAGGGTTCTGCCCAACATCTTAGCTGTTTTTAGCACTGCACTCTTCTGCACAGAGAACTTCATTGTTGTTGGATCCATTGTCCCATCTTAAACATCATAGCCCTGAGTGCTCCTATCACCATCAGGACCACTTTGGCATTTACTTTTCACATCCTCTCTCTCCTTTGGGTCCTGGTACTTCTCCATCTTCTTGCACTCCTTGATACTAATGACACTTGGCACTGCTACATCCATCACCCTGCTGTCTTCTGGTCCACAATATCTAGTTGACTGGCCAGTACCTACCGATCTGCCTGGATCTCGGACTACCACAGGGTCTTAGCTCTCTTACTGTCCACATTAGCCTGTGGAATCTCCCATCTGGACCTAGGAAAGTCTAGTCCAGGGCTGTCAAACTCCCAGCCCATGGGCCAAATGCACTGGCCACGTCCACATCCAAATTAGCGAAGGGAAAAAAAGTCTCGATATATCATGTGACACCGCCATGACAATGTGAATTTGACACCCCTGGTCTAGTCCATACACTAGGCAGAAGCTCCAGTGCACAATGGCAGCTACTTGGTTGTGCTGCTCAGTATATACTTTTCCTGCCTGCCACTTATACCCTGCCACTATGTGTTGAATTGTTTCTAGGGTCTCTCTGTACAGTCTGCACCTTGGGTGCTATCTAGTATGGTAGACATGGCTTGTAGGGATCTGGTGCTTAGTGATTTCTCTCATGCTTCTAAGATCACTGCCTCAGTGCTATATTTTAGTCCAGACCTTTCCAGCCACTGGTAGGATTTTCCAGTGACTGCCACTTCAGATATTTGTCGATGGTACATCCCTTGCAGGATCTTGATTTTCCATGGTGCTTCCTCTGCTTGATCTTTCTTCTATGCCTGCTCTTGCCTCAGGCATTCTTTTAGCAGCTCATCTTTAGGTGCCAACTTACTGATGTACTCATGGATGTTCCAGATTTATCCAGGACAGTGGCTTTGATTGTTTTTTTTACACACATACACACACACACACACACACACACATACTTTTACATAATGTGAGATCCTGGTCAATGACCATTATAAAGATATTGGCCCATCTGAAATTCAATGATTTTCTAGGATGCCAAAAAGTTTTCACAATTCAGAAATGAAAAACTTGTTCTTTTAGAACTCTTTTATATTATTACCTATTTTACACAAACATTTTTTAAAAAGTGTATTGTAATTTATTGGGAAATGATTTATTTTCTAAATGTAGAATTATTTTTGTATGCCTAATTGTATAAAATCACAACGACTAGCTTTGTTTCAAATAGTATTGTGTTAAGTTGTTTGAACTATGATGTAATGTATGAATATAGGCTTGAGTAGCCATGAAATGGTTACCACAAATGTTTTTAGACTGACTGTTTTTCATCAATGCTCAATAAACATATATTGAAAACATATGAATGTGAAATGGGCCTTGAAGTAACTTTTTCTCCTTTGCATAATGTAAACAGTGATTTTTTTTTCAGTTGGCTGTCATAGCTGTAAGCAAAAAAAGTTAAAACTTATTGAAATCAGATGAAAAACCATGTAATGGTTCTAAAGAAATCAAATGAGATTTAATTAGACTAGATTCTTTCCTATGCTCTACTCTGTTCACTATACCCCCACCCCTAAAATTTCTAAGAAGTGGTTTTTGAGAAGAGTTATTTTCGGATCAGAAAAGAATTTGTGATTGACAGGATAATCTAAATGAGCTGAAATTTGGAAGGAGATTTCATGGAATATTTAATGCTAACTACAAAGTCCGGTTCACTCTATGCAGTGCAGGTAGAAAATAGAGGGACTTTTTATTCTTTTCAACACAATGTGAATGTGAGGAAGATATTAAGTAAAGGAATTCAGGATTTTGTTCATAAGCATGATAATTCTCTGAAAACTGAACAGAACAGGATGGTATTTTATCTAGGTAGAGACGCTGTCCAAAAGAAGTTTGAAATTTGAACATATTTATCTGTGGACTGCAGAAAAAAGTTTCCAGGAAAAAAAAATCCTTCACTTTCAGAGAGGCCATTAATCCTGGGATGTTGGTTACTTCTCTTTTCTAAGCAAACCCTCCATCGTATATCTAAAACTTCCAAACCCTCCATTGTACATCTAAAGCTTTATAGTTTAATTAGTCACATTATTTGTGACTTAATTAGTACATCTGAGTTACATGACCCCAAGTATCTTCTGTTCCCAAGCACACAGCAATGTAATACAGGGAGGACTATAGATACCATTGTTGATGCAACACATCACATAGAAGACAATATGATCATTTTAGTTAGAAGCTACATACTACTTTTCCTGTTAGGAATTAGAACACTTGAGATGCAGGAGTGACATTAGTGCTTCACTGCTCTAAAGACACCACTCTGGGTGATGGATTTCATTCTCCAATAGATAATTAGTGTCCTTAACTGAAAAATATCAATTAAGGTGGCTTGTTCTGTAATTATATCATGAGGGAGGAGGATAGGGTCTGGCAAACACTTTCCCTAATTCCTTAGGGTTTGTTTATTTATTTGTAAAAAATTTTTGGTGTCCATCTCATGATTCAGTAAAAAGTATCTAATTGTATGGAGGGGGTAGAATCTAATTTTTATCTTAAATACCTCGGAAAAACTTAATTGGGCTAGTGCACTATTATATTTAACAGAAAAGTAATTATGTCACATGATGATCTTTTAATACTTCAGCATAACTGTTGCTACTGGCTTATTTTGTGAGTTGGATCTTTGATATATTTTGTTTTTGCTATTAGTTTTGTGAACCATTTTTAGTTGGAAGACTGTAGAAAAAATAAATCTGAGGATTTCCTTGAGGGCTTTAGAGAATTATAAAGGAAAGTGAATGAACAACCTAACAACTACTGTATGCTCTTTTTTCATTTTGAATATTTTAAATATTATAAATTATTCTAAGTCAATCTTTCTTGGTGCCCTCCAGGTATACAAGAATCTACTCCATCTTCAGTGTAATATGCTGATTAACACTGTGGGAGTTCTAGTTCAACCTGATTGAAGCATGCAACATTGAGAGTAAACTGATTCAAGTTATAAATTAGGTAATGTTCCTTTACTATAAAGTTTATTTCAGACACTGATACCAACAGTATTTTTATTATCAAAAGTATATATCAAAATGAGAAGGGGTCTTTTAGTTTAATTAGTCACATTATCTGTGGATATCTACCTACATTACACTTGCACGTGAATAGAAACAAGATACGAAGGAATATTAAAATAGTTACCACAGAGAGCTCTAGATAATTGTGGAAGGAAGGAAGGAAGGAAGGAGGGAAAGAAAGCAGGCATCACACTGGATCACCAGTATGATTCTTAAATTCAGCATTTTTCATTTTTCAGCTTCAATTTTTAAGTTTGAAGAATAAATTTGCATATTCCAGAAAGAAAGAAACTTACCTTCTGCCGCAAGCCCTGTGTATAAAACAACTGATGCATGGCAGTCGGTTGTTCCATGAAGCAGCTGAGCTGGGAAACCTGGAAATAAAGCACTAACTAGAGCCAGGGCAGGTGGGTGGGCCCAACAGCTGATCATCAGAGTGAACTGGTTCGCTCCCAGCTGATCTTTGGAGATATCAGTTCGTCCGAACTGGGCCAAACTGGTAGAATCCCACTCCTGTAGATATTTCAGGATCAGATATTTCAGGATCAAATTTCAAGATTATCTGGAAAAAAGTATGCTTAGCACTTTAACTTTGCATTCTGAGAAAAATGTTCAAATTGTTTTAAAAACCCTGCATTAATGAATTCACTAATAAATGTGTGATAGACTTTTGGCTTATGAAGCTTCCAAAATTCAGTATATTAACCTTTTACAGTCTTGACAAAACCCTTAGTGACACTTATTGTGAGTTATTTTTTCTGAATTGCACTGGTAAGTAAGTCACCCAGGAACAAACTTTGGGACTATATATTATAAGATACTTGAGTGTTGTCTGTTTTTAATTTCTAATTAAATTGCTTACTTACTTGGGAGTGTAGAATAGGAAGAGAGTCTAATCGTAATATATTGACAGTGACTGTATTCTGTATTCATATACATGACTTTTTAAATCATATTTTTGGAAGCTACCTCGACTAATACATTTGCATTTAATTAAATCTCTTCTTAGAAAA